TGCATGTGCCCTAGAGAAAAAAACTCTAAAAAAAAAAAAAAAAAAAAAAAAAAAAGTGCAGGGTGCAGGGGCCAGGGATGGGGTGGGGGCCAGGCTGGTCGCTAGGCCCATGCCACCAGGCCCGGGCTCACGTCCATGTCCTCAGGGCCGCTCCACTCGGGACGGCACGTCCTGCCGGGTGCAGCGCCGGAGCTTTACCCCTGCCAGCTTCCTGGAGGAGGACACGGCAGACTTCCCTGACGAGCTCGACACTTCCTTCTTTGCCCGGGTAAGAAGCGCCCGGCATCACCCTGGCCCCTCGCCCTGCGCCTGCCCTGACCGCATGTGTCGCTCAGGAAGGTGTCCTCCATGAGGAGTTGTCCACGTACCCGGACGAGGTGTTTGAGTCTCCGTCGGAGGCGGCACTCGAGTGGGAGAAAGCCCCGGAGCAGGCGGACCTCACGGGGGGCGCCCTGGCCCGCAGCGAGCTGGAGCGCAGCCACCTGCTGCTGTGAGTTTGGTAGGCGGGGACCGCGACCACCTGCTGGGCCTGTATCCCCTACTGGCTGACACACCCTCCTCGTGGAGGATGTGGCCGAGAGAGGGCTGGGCTCAGCTCCATTCTCAGCTGTCCGCCCTGTGGGAGACCACGATTCCAGAGTCCAGGGGCTGGACAGAGTCCAGCAGGGAGGAGGCCTGCGGCCTGGCTGAGACTTGCTGAGGGGCAGAGCCTCTGTGGCCCCGGGCCCCGCCTTACCATGCTTGGGGTGGGGGGTAGGGCTGCCTCTGTAAGGGGCAAGAGGGAGCTGCTGTCACTGCTGGGCTGGGTGGGCAGAGACAGAGGGCGCTGTGGTTCTCCTGGGAAGGGAAGAGAACCTGGGGCCTGGGGCAGGAATTGACTGTCTGGGCCTCCTCCAGGCCCCTGGAACGAGGTTGGCGGAAGCCGAAGGAGGGCTGCACCCCTCAGCCCAAGGTGCGCCTTCGACAGGAGGTGGTGAGCACCACGGGGCCGCGGCGGGGCCAGCGTATCACGGTGCCTGTTCGCAAGCTCTTTGCCAGGGAGAAGCGGCCTTACGGGCTGGGCATGGTGGGCAGGCTCACCAACCGCACCTACCGCAAGCGCATCGACAGCTACGTCAGGCGCCAGATCGAGGACATGGATGACCACAGGTGGGCCCTGTGCCGCACAGCGGGTGGTGGCTCCTGGCTGCCGGGCGGGACGTGTGGCTGACGCTCCGCCCCGCAGGCCCTTCTTCACCTACTGGTTGACCTTCGTGCACTCGCTTGTCACCGTCCTGGCTGTGTGCATCTACGGCATTGCGCCTGTGGGCTTCTCGCAGCACGAGACGGTGGACTCGGTGAGCCCCAGCACCCTCCTCTGGCCTGGACACGCGGCCCTGCTGGGGGCACGGGGCTGGGTCTGCTGGCTCTGACCTGCCCCCGACCTCCAGGTGCTCCGTAACCGGGGGGCCTATGAGAACGTGAAGTACGTGCAGCAGGAGAACTTCTGGATCGGCCCGAGCTCGGTAAGGACGGCGGGGTGGGGGGGGTGGGGCACTGGGCCCGGGGCCAAGGCCGCAGCTGCAGTGCCCCCACAGGAGGCCCTCATCCACCTGGGCGCCAAGTTCTCGCCCTGCATGCGCCAGGACCCGCAGGTGCACAACTCCATCCGCACGGCTCGCGAGCGTGAGAGACACTCGGCCTGCTGTGTGCGCAACGACCGGTCGGGCTGCGTGCAGACCTCAGAGGAGGAGTGCTCGGTGCGTCCTGCCCCAGATGCCTGCCCCACCGTGCACTGGTGCTCTCCGCAGAGCCCGCCCGGGCAGCATGCCCCCCGTCAGACCCCTCCAAGGCCAGCATGTCCCCCATCAGACCCCGCCCTGGCCAGCATGACCCCTCCCCCAATCAGATCCCACCCTGGCCAGCATGCTGGAGGCCTCTGTTAGACCCAACCGGACCAGCAGGACTACCGTCAGACCTTGCCTGGGCCAATATGCCTGAGGCCTCCCAGTCAGACCCCGCGTGGGTCAGCACACCCGAGGCCCCCTTGAGGCCCCGCCGGGGTCAGCACACCCGAGGCCCATGAGGCCCCGCCAAGGTCGGCATGCCTGTGAACCTCGCCACCCCACCGCAGGCCCAGCGGTAGACAGCTGTCTGCATCTCTGGTCTGGCCTCTGGTTTGGGGCGCTCGGTGTGCGTCTTGCTCACTCATTCATACCTTGGAGCTCACCCCCGTGCTGTTGTTTCTTCCCACTGTGCAACTTTACACGGGATGCACATCCCATAAGAGCACCATGGTTAGACCAGCCTGACTGGGGATGCAGCTGGCCTTCTAACTCTAGGCCGGGCGGGATCATGTGGCTGGACTGGTGCCAGACCTCCCCTAACTGCGGAGGTCCGAGGGAGGGTCTCAGTGGTTCTGCCTTTGACTCCTGACCCCAGAGCCCCTCATCCCCCTGACCTGGGCAGGGTGGGCTCTGACCAGGGCCGACCTGTGCACCTACAGTCCACACTGGCCGTGTGGGTGAAGTGGCCCGCCCACCCCAGCACCCCAGACCTGGCTGGCCACAAGAGGCAGTTCGGCTCTGTCTGCCACCAGGACCCCAGGTCAGTCCCACAGGCCTCTCCCCTTTGCCCACGTCTGCCTGTGTGCGGGTGGATAGATGCTGGTTCTCCAGGTTGAATGGGGGTGTGAAGGCCAGGGGCTCAGAGAGGGGTCAGACCACAGCCTGGGCTCCCACAGGGTGTGTGATGAGCCCTCCTCTGAGGACCCGCATGAGTGGCCTGAAGACATCACCAAGTGGCCGGTGAGCTGGGGTTGGGGTGCTTGGGGTCACCCTTGCCCTGTGCAGAAGCTGCCCTGGCCCTTAATGAGGCAGAAACCCCCACTGTGGGGCAGTCCCACGTGCTCGACGCCGTGCTCCTGGCTCTTCCGTCCGCTGGGGCCTGCCTCCTGCCTCAGAGCGAGCAGAGCTGAGTGGACAGGAGGGCCTGGCTGGGCTCAGGGTGTGTGGCCCTGGGGTCAGGGTCTGGGAGGCCCTGACCTAGCCCGTCCTGCGTGGCCAGATCTGCACCAAGAGCAGTGCTGGGAACCACACCAACCACCCGCACATGGACTGCGTCATCACGGGCCGGCCCTGCTGCATTGGCACCAAGGGCAGGTAGGCCGTGCTGTGCGGCATCGTCGGGTCCCGTGAGCCCACAGTGCGGAGGGTGTGGGTGAGAGGGTCTGGACTTGCAGGGCCTCTGCAGACCTTGCACTGCCTGCAGGTGTGAGATCACTTCCCGAGAATACTGTGACTTCATGAGGGGGTACTTCCACGAGGAGGCCACGCTCTGCTCTCAGGTAGGCTGCGGAGGGAGCGCCCCTGCCCCACCACCACGGGAGCTGACCAGCTGCCCCCACAGGTGCACTGCATGGACGACGTGTGTGGGCTCCTGCCTTTCCTCAACCCGGAGGTGCCTGACCAGTTCTACCGCCTGTGGCTGTCCCTCTTCCTGCATGCTGGGCAAGTGACCCCCAGTGGGCTAGGTGGGTGGTCTTGGGGGTCTGGGAGGAGTGGCCCCCACTGAGCATCTCACCCCCACAGGGTCCTGCACTGCTTGGTATCTGTCTGCTTCCAGATGACCGTCCTGCGTGACCTGGAGAAGCTGGCCGGCTGGCACCGCATTGCCATCATCTACCTGCTGAGCGGTGTCACTGGCAACCTGGCCAGCGCCATCTTCCTGCCATACCGGGCAGAGGTAAGCCCCCTGAGCAGGCCCACGTGTGGCTGCCATGCCCCACAGGCCCCTGCATGCTGCTCTCAGTCCCGACATCCCGGGTGCAGTGGGCAGTGGGGTGCAAGGATGTCTCCAGGCCAGGGTCCTGCTCAGCCCCGTGGGCTCACGGCCACCCTCCCCCAGGTAGGCCCGGCCGGCTCCCAGTTTGGTATCCTGGCCTGCCTCTTCGTGGAGCTCTTCCAGAGCTGGCAGGTCCTGGCGCGGCCCTGGCGGGCCTTCTTCAAGCTGCTGGCCGTGGTGCTCTCCCTCTTCGCCTTCGGGCTGCTGCCCTGGATTGATAACTTCGCCCACATCTCCGGCTTCATCAGCGGCCTCTTCCTCTCCTTTGCCTTCCTGCCCTACATCAGCTTCGGCAAGTTCGACCTGTACCGCAAACGCTGCCAGATAATCGTCTTTCAGGTGGTCTTTCTGTGCCTCCTGGCTGGCCTGGTGGTCCTCTTCTACTTCTCTCCCGTCCGCTGTGAGTGGTGTGAGCTCCTCACCTGCATACCCTTCACCGACAAGTTCTGCGAGAAGTACGAGCTGGACGCTCAGCTACACTGAGCGGCTGTGGCCAGGGCCAGGCTGCACAGCCAGGCAGGCACAGCCACCTGGCCCCCACGCCTTGCCTGCTCCACGCAGAGACTCACGTGTCCTGAACACAGGGCCAGGAAGGCACAGCTACCCGGCCCCCACGTCTCGCCTGCTCCACACGGGGATTCATGTGTTGTGAACACAGTCAGGCAGGGATGTCCTTAGGCCCCACGTCTTTGCCTACTCCATGTGGGGACTCCCATGTCCTGGACACAGAACCAGGCAGGTGTGGCTGCCTTGGCCCTCAGGCCTCTGCCTGCTCCATGTAGGGCCGCTCATGCCTTATTCATGTGTGTTGAGGACTCCGCAGGGCCTTGTGTGCCCAGAACACAGGCCTCTCGTGTGTCTTGTCTGTTGAACCCCTTGTCCCATGGGCATTTAGGACACTTTCCCTGTGATTACCCCCCAGCTAGTCTCTTGACGACCACCTCACGTGGCCAATAAATGGACTGGGAGCGTTTTAGCTGCCACTAACTCAATCGGGGCCACTGCCTCCTTCCAGTTTCTGGGGCTGTGGAGGGATTTCCTGCACCCCTCAGAACCAGGGGTGAATGGTGGAAGTGAGCACAGGCTCTCCACTCCCAGTGACATCCCTTAGCCAGGTGTGTCCTCTGCTCCCTCCCGTGGACTAAGAGCCAAGGCTGGGACAAGGGCCTGCTGGGTGTCATCTGACCCTCCCCACATCATGCACACATGGGAAGCACTCCCTCAACCCCTCTAACTTTGCCACCTGCTACCTCTCCCCACCCCTTGTCTGGTAAAGGCACCTGCAGGTGAACCCTGTGGGCCAAGGCTGCCTCACTGGAGGCCCTGGCGTCCCACGTGAGGGATGGATGACAGCCGCCCTGCCTACCCTGGTATGGGGAGTGGTGTGGCCACTGGCTCAGGTGTGGCATCTCGGCTTTTAGGACTTACCTGCCCCTGCTCTTACCCGCCCGGTCATTGGGCAGACCCAGTCCCTTCTATGCAGTGCTGTGGCAGCAAACAGGTTTATTCTGTGCACAGGCTCAGGCTGACAGCTGTACGGGACAACCCCAGGACTGGTGCATCTAGGCCCAGGGAGAGGTGGGGTCCAGGCCTACCATGCAGGGGGTAGTAGGCTCCCCGCTTTCCCTGAGCACCAGGGTCAGGCTGACAGGTCCGGTAGGCATCACTCCTGTGAAGGGCAGTGTCTGGAGGCCCCATATGGCTTGGCTGAAGCCCAGCCCCAGTGGCTGGAGTTGTACTTTCTGGAGGGTCGCTTTTTCTTGGGAGAAATTTTTTTTTTTTTTTTTTGGCTACAGGGCATGTGTACTCACTGGAGACAGAGAAAGTGAAAAATCATCCCCTGGGGCATGGCCACACCACAATCCCTTCTCCTCCATTCTTTTCTCAGGATTTTGGGCATGTGCAGACACTTGGCGTAACTTTCAAGCCACCAGGTCAGGGACCCCAGCCGAGGTTGACCGTGTAAGTCTAGTGATATAACCAGTATGCCACCTGCTGGTCCTGAAGGCTCACTTTTGCCTCAGCTTTTTGATGAAGGAAACCTCATCCCGATTCCGGATACCATAACTGAAAAAGAAGGGTGAGAAGTGACCGCAGGGTTCATCTGCCACTCCCCCACTGAGGCTCATGAAGGACCAGGAAAGGACACAGGCGAGGTGTGTGGCCTGGTGGTCCTCTTCTACTTCTCTCCCGTCCGCTGTGAGTGGTGTGAGCTCCTCACCTGCATACCCTTCACCGACAAGTTCTGCGAGAAGTACGAGCCGGACGCTCAGCTACACTGAGCGGCTGTGCCCAGGGCCAGGGAGGCTGGGGTGCAGCATGTCGGTCTCGTTCCCTCCTTGGCCTGCCGCTGTCCTAGCAGGGGGGCCCTCAGCCTTCCGGCAGACCACAGGGGACCAGAGGGCGACAGACCCGCTGTCCCTCCCAGCTCAAGATGTGGCCTGAACTTACTCTCGGAGCTTCTTCCTGTCTTCCGTGAGCTTCTCTCCTGCAGAGGTCAGGTGGTATGTCCTCCACACGTAGGACCTGTGGGGGGCGCCCAGCCAAGGCAGGTGATCATGAGGGGCTGAGCCTCACCCCCTCCCTCATGTTTCTCCTGACCACGTGTGCGCCAGGCCTCAGGCAGCTCTAGGGAGCTGTGTTCTCAAAGGGCTGTATGTGTGGGGCAGAGCCACACACACCTTGCTATGACAGGAGACAGTGCTGAGGCACAGCTGGCAGGAGCGTGTAATTTCGGCCTTGGCCCCACAGAGCCCTGGGGTGCTCCTCAGAGCTGCCCTGCTTACCAGCTGATGTGCTGGGTGCCACCTTCACGCTCCTGCTTGAGCTGCACGTGTCTCTGGATGGCCTTCTTCAGGTCCAGGACTGTGGCGTTCTGCACGACAACCACAGCTGTAGCCACAGACACAGATGGAAGAGAGTCACGTGGGAGCCCAGAGCCTCAGCTCTGCTGAGCGAAAGCTGGGCAGGTCTGTGGGCATGGCCCTGCTGACACCTGCCCTGTGAGGGTCAGACCCTGGCGCGAGAAAGGAGGGAGCCACTCACGCATGACTTCTCCGTCCATCTTGCAAACTCGGACCGTCATTGCTTGGCCATATTCTAGTGCTATCTGGGAATTGACCTCTTCTAAAGTGACCTAGAAAAGATCAAGGGTGGAGGTGGGAACCCTGACTCTACCAAACAGTAGAGAAACAGGCTCCTAAAGCCGACAGACCAGGAGGGGAAGGGGCTTTTGCCCATAGTTGTCCCTCCCTGCAGACTGCTCCCAGGACTACAGCGGGTACCAAAGTCCATGGATTTTGACCCTAAACACCTTCCTATACAATGGGGTAGTGTTTGTACCCTATTCGGACACCCTCCCGTACACCTCGAACCATTTCTAGCTTGTTCTAATACCTGATGCAGCACAAGTGCTCTGACTGTCACACCACACTAGGGGACACTGTGAGGAGCCTGTGCATGCTTGGTACAGATGTGACCACCCCACCACAGGCCTCACTGCACAGCTGTGATGGCCATGGTGTGTTGGCAGATGCGGAACTCTTGAGAGGGCTGACTACATGTAAAACATTTCCCTGTCTCAGCACTATGAGCTCACGTTCCACATACATTTTTATATATTTAATGTAAGAAGTGGACAGAGGCTCTGGAGGAAACACTGAAAAACAAAAAGAAACAAAACAGGTTGGGAACCAGCAGTTAGCGTAATGGCTATGTCGCTGGACTCCCACGTAGTCGACCGCGGTTCACATCCCGGACCCGGTGGCTTAAAACTCACGCTGGGCGCGTGTGCGTGCGTGTCCAAGATCCCGAGAGGAGAATAGAGAAGGGATTGCGGCGTGACCATCCCCCCTGGGGGGTGATTTCTCGCTTTCTGTGTCTATGTCTCTGTCTGGCGAGCGCATGCGCCCTATAGCAAAAACCTCTCCAAAAAAAAAACAAAACAGGCTGAGGGACCGGCAGTCAGTGTAATGAATACATCGCTGGACTCCCACGTAGTCACCGCAGTTCGAGTCCCAGACCCAGTGGCTTAAACTCACGCCAGGTGCGTGTGCATGCATGCCCAAGGTCCCGAGAGGAGAAGGGAGGAGACGGGATTGCGGCGTGGCCATCCACCCTGGGAGATGATTTTTCACTTTCTGTCTGTCTGTCTGGTGAGCGCATGCGCCCTATAGCAAAAACCTCTCTCTCTCACAAAAACCAGGAACCAGCAGTTAGCGTAATGGCTATGTTGCTGGACTCCCACGTAGTCGACTGCGGGTCGCGTCCCGGACCCGGTGGCTTAGAACTCATGCCAGGCGCGTGTACGTGCGTGCCCAAGATCCCGAGAGGAGAATGGAGGAGAAGGGATTGTGGCGTGACCATCCCCCCTGGGGTGATTTCTCGCTTTCTGTCTCTATGTCTCTGTCTGGCGAGCGCACGTGCCCTATAGCGAAAACCTCTCAAAAAACAAAACAAAAACAAACAAACAAAACAAAAAAACAAAAACCAAACAGAACAGGCTGAGAGAATGACCCCACAGGGGACTGCTCCCAGGAGCAGGAAAGCGCACTGGCCTATCAGCCCGCCTTCATGCCCTGATTACCGGGATCCAAGCCAGGCCTCAGGACCAGGATAAAGCAGGTGTGCAGAACTTACTGGGGCACCAAAAGATGGTAAAAGACACGTCAATACAGCTTTTAAGAAAATATAAGTTACGGGGCCAGCAGATGGCTTAGTGGTTACGTCACTAGACTACCACATGGCCAACCCAGGTTCAAACCCTGGACCTGGTGGCTTGAAAATCACCTGGGCCCTGTGCGTGTGTGCCCAAGATCCCAGGAGTGCATGCACCCTAAGGCAAATTTTTTTTTTTTAAGAATTATTTTTTAACTTTATTCAGTCATTATTTTATTTTATTTTATTTTTTTTGAAGTTGACCAGAGAGAGACAGAGAACAGGAAAGTGAGGAAGCAGACTGCCAGGTCTAGAATCAAACCGTGGTCGGCCATGTGGGAGTCCAGCTGCCTTAACCACCACGCCGCCACCTGCCGGCCCAAGGCAAAAAAAAAAAAATAGGGGCTGGCAGGTGGTGTGGTAGTTAAGGGCACTGGACTCCTACATGGCTGACTATGGTTTGAGTCCTGGACCTGGCGGCTTGCTTTCTAATCCGCCCCCCTCCCCCAGCCTTTGCCTCTCTCTAGTCAAATTAAAATAAAAAAAAGTCAAATAAAAATAATTCTTTAACTTTATTTACTTGTTTTATTTATTTTTGGCCAGAGAGGGAA